CGAACATGTGTTTCTTGTCCCTTTCTTCCTCATTGACCAGAAAACATGGAGAAGCATCGTACTCGTTCATTTAATGTAGGGTTAAATCCCCAATGTGAGACAAAGTGGCAAAAATTTTGAGATTTCTCCCGAAAATTCGATCGTCCGCCCAAAAAATACAACATGAAAGTCGAGAAAAGGATCATAAACTCTGGAAACAGGATGCAGCATCGTGATGTGTGAAATGGTGGCGTCAGTATGACCCCCTCCCCCTTCCTCAACACTTACTTACTACTTTCCTCACTTTCCCACAAGCTCCCAGCCTCCTACCAGTTTTTTTCAGTTCTTCACCCAAAAATTTTCCCTCGAGCGGGGTGGGGAGAGAGCTGCGAAAAGTTAACAACCACGAAAAAATTTTTCCCAACGCTGCGAATTTCTCTCAAAGGCACATATGACCCCCTCCCTGTTCCCAGCGGCCAAGTACGACCTCCCTATGTGTTTGACACAGCGATGATGTACCCTGACTGGGAATAAAAAATGATTTCATAGACTGCTGAACAAATGACTAACGAAAATGTAAAATCCCCTTCTTGAAGAAAAATTGCATCTTAGCTGCTTCAAATATTGAAAAAGCTAATATCACAGCTGACAAGTCCAGTGGGTGAGGTATTTTCAAAGAAAAACGAATAGTTCCCCTTTCTTTCTCCCGAGATCTCTGATCCAATGTCCGATTTTCCAGTTTCGAGTTTTGATCTTTCACGGAAATTACATCGCTCTCATTGGGTCACTCCAGATTTCATCCCCTCCACCTTAATGAAAAAAAATCCTCATATTGTCGCAGAATCGCTGGCATATTTCAGGTTGGAAAGAAAGTCCTGCGACACTGTGACCAAAATTCCGAACCAAATTTTCTTTCACGTGACTCCTCCAATCTTCAAAGGTTATCCAGCGACATCGCTCCGAAGTCCCAGTAATAACACAGTAGAATCTTTTTTCCGTTCGTATCTCCGTTATTAGCTAAGCAGGTGACTTTTCTCTTTGAGAAATCCTGTGAAGGTAATGTACATGGTTTACGCAAGAGATCCAGCTTTTCGTTACCAACCACAACAAACACCTAACGTCTAACAAAAGGCCCTTCCAATGTCTACAAAAAGAGGGAACTCCGTCACGACCATTTGTTGCGCTTTGAACTGGTGCAGCACATGTGGCATCCTTCACAGAAAATTTTCACTGTCGAGATTGCGGAGAAGCATAGCATTTGCAGGCTAGGGATATTGTCAACTTACTCGTGGTTGCGTTTGGTTCCGTCTCCAAGGGTTGAGTAAACGGCCGTCATTCTGTACTGGTGGCCGACCTATACGTTGTCTAACTTCGAGCAAAATAACTCCAGCTTGCAGGCGGTGATACCAACGGGGCACTTTGGTATGACAAGCGACATTCTTGATAACGATGGCGCAGGTGTTACCTCACTCGACTCCGGCGTAGTGGCTCAGAGTCTATGGGACAGGTTCAAAAGTACTCGACAGTTGGAAGACTTTTCAGCTTTGAAAGCTTCCTTAGGGCCATGATACACCCGTTCACAAAGTCAGCGGAGAGCACTCTCTACCACTCAGGAGTGAAAACATTCAAAGTGTGACGATTTAATCAAAGTGTCACAGGACTTTCTTTCTAACCTAATATATTCAACCAGTTACGTTGCTTTTCCAAGTGACAGCTAAAGTGGACCTCCTATTACCTCCTATAACCTCTTATTTATGCGGGATAGTCGATAAAGTTTAAAAAAAACACCTGTAACCTATTTTTGCAATAACGCAATCATTCCTCCCAATAAGCATTGGTTTATATCTATAAGGCTTGTGGAAGCAAGTCCGTTAGAATGTATCAATGACTGGAACAGTTATATAGATAAAAAGATGTCTCGTGACATTATTCATTTTCTTTTATTTAGCAAGGGAAAGATGGTAGGTCGGAGTTGCCATCTCAAATGAGATGTATACCGACTGAGAGGTTTTGTGACGGGAACTACGAAACCGTCTTCTATATCTGCTGCGGACCTTACCAGAACAAAGTATCGGAGCCTTCTTAGGGGAGCATACTCGCGTTCGATACGAGTTAGCGGCGTAAGGTAGTTAGGGTGCAGCCTGAGGATGTGCTAAATGGCAGCGCCAGTACGACCCTTCCCCTTCCTGCTCTGTTGCTCGTGCCTAGATGTTGCTCGCGCGCGGGAACTGGGGATATCGCTTTGCTGACAATAGTGCAAGAAAAAGGTTCCCAAAACAGTGTGAGAAAGAAACATTTTGCGAGGGAATAAAGGTATCGGAACTAATAAACATTTGTCCGAGATGTACCTTCCTCACAATGTTCATAGCAGTCAAGTTGATCGATAATACTGATCAGAATGAAGTGCTGTTAACTCTAGAGCCTGTAATGCAGTGCATTCGGTGTGCAAAGGAGGAACTATCGTAGTGCTGCCTCCAGGGATGGAGAAAGTAGAAAAACATGGAAAACCATGGAAACATGAAAAAAACATGGGAAGAAACGATTCAAATGAACTAATATTGAGCAAGCGCTCGCAGCCACGTTGCGACCGCTTGTTCAAATCAAACAACGCTGGAACGCAGTTGTTGGAGGTACCACATTCCGAAGGCCTGTTCAAGAGGTAATAATTTTTCTAAGATGCTGGTCTTTTGGGAGACGGCAGGGAGTGTATCAACGTCATGTCTCGACTGTTGCGCTTTTGAGCTACTCGCAGTCTACATCTTCCACCGTTCGTTAAACATTTTGAATGGGTTATGGATCGGTTAGTAGTAGCACATTCCGAAGGCTTCTCTCAGAAGCTTCGCTCTCCAAACAACATGGTTCAACCTAGAACCGCATGAAGACGTGCGCGAAGATGAGTTTAGTTAGAAAGGGACTTCACATGACATTGCCTTAGTGTAGTCTTGTCGGAAGTGATGATGGCGAAAATATTCATTTATTTCTCATACATGGTTGAACGTGGCGGAGGAGGGGTAGTGGCAAGTGGCACGTTTACCAGTAGCGCGGTCCTGGGTTCGAATCCCAGGTCGACACCCGCCCAGGCCGACCAAGTCTTCTATCCTCCGGGGACGGTGAATTGGTACCAGATTCGTCTGGGAGGATGAGAACACAGACCTGTTCATCGGCTTCCCCCGCAAGCCATTTTATGTGTCACATCGCATTCGATAAGCCTCTACAATTCTGAATGGAAGTAGATTGCGTCCCGGATTCCAAAGTGATAGTAGACTTTATCCTTTATTCTTCACAGTGTTGAACCTTTATTCTTTACAGTGTTAAACGATGCTTTGTCCAAGAAAAGTTGCTCTCACACCTGCTGAAAGTCTTTTCTCGTGTGACGTTGGAAGATCGTCAACGAGGAGGAGCGGAGAGTCACTGACAGCCACCTTACCACGACATCACCAAGCATAAGAGTTATGCAAAAACGCTTCCGAGTGCACAGAGACCACTATCGAAAAAGGCAAATGGCACATGCGCCAGCGCCAAGGATTCAATCCTTCGACCATGCACCTTTGAGACCTAAGGCGTAGCCATTCGACCGTGATGCTTTGACAGGACTACGCCGCTGATTAGTATTGAATACGAGTACACTACCCCTGAAAAGTCTCAGTAGCTTTGTTGTAGGAGGTCTGCAGCAGATGGAGGCGGCCTCGTAATCTCAATCCTAAGGCCTCTCCGTCGATATACATCTCATTCCTGGCCACTCCGACCTTCCGTTCTTCCCTTGTAAGGTTTTCGATAAAGTTGATCACTCCAAGCTTTTGCACAAACTTCCTATTGAAAATTTATCCGTTACTTTGTCATTGGTAAAACGAGTCCCATTCTGGATTCACTTGAAATGGGCTCTGTTTTCTCGAATATTAAAGATTTTGAAAATGGAGCCCCAAGGAGGTGCCCCATTTCCCACTATTTTTGCAATCTATACTGCAAAACTTCCCCAATTTCAGAGAATTGTGGTGTTATATGCAAATAATTTGCTGATGACATAAAAACATAGAATGATACAAGAGCCAGAGGATATGAATCTTGTCCAAAATTGTCTACGTACTAGCCTGATTGGTCCTTGGAGTCCCCTTTTATGTCCTGAAAAACGATTCACAGGATGCTAGGGTCAACAACCATTTCAGGAATCTACTTCTTTGGTTATCTTTGGTTCTCATCTTCTCAAGAATGTGTCCCTGTCGAAGACCTAGGCTTTCTTTACGACAATGAACTTTGTTTTTCCCCACATTATGAAGTGCTCTGTAAGGAGGCTACCCTCCGACTGCCCTCCGAACGTATCAGATCTTTAAAGCACAGAGTACAATCAGAGACACAGACCTACCTGTCATGACTTACAAGGTTTGTGTTCTACCTATAGCTGGATGTGGGACCACGATCCTCTGCCCATACAGGGAAAAGGCATTAAGTTAGTTTTTAAAAAATTCGGAATAATTTCACCTGCATAATATTTTTCAGATTCGATGACTGCATTGATTTTAGATCAGCGCACGTATTTTGTAAAAATCAGGAATACAAACTGCACACTTTCACATTTCATTGAAAAAGGTTTTGACCTTTTTTGGTGTTGAAGATTCGGAACGTTACATCTGATGCGTCCAAATCCTATGGTAAGGCAAATTCTAGAACTAGAGGGGCATTGGAAAGAATCTCATATGAAACGTTCATTACCAACGACTAACATCAAAGCTTCACAAGCCCTGCATCTGAATTCAGCTCTCGTAAAATAGCAGTGTCTCTGACCTGCATCGTTTTTTTTGCCGTATAAAGTCTTAGTTAAGGGAGGATTATCGAAATTTGATGAGTAGTGTCAACTCTCGCAGTTGTATTCATAGTTTTTTTGTTCATTATATTATTTTCCTACGTTTGTCCTGAGCAACGTATAAAAAACAAACAATGAACAATATTCTACCTGACTACGTCGTTCCCAAATGAAAATTAAAAACGTATATGTTGCATTGCTAAATATAACATCCGGATTTCAGGGAAAATGAGTGGGCACCTGTGCGTGAATTCGCTGATTTCCCATGGGTACCTGTGGTAGACGGAGATTTCTTGGTAGAGAGCGCTCACACGTCACTGAAACAAGGTGAGATCTATTATTTCTTGCGTACTTCTTTATGCATGAAAATATGCTTGGTGGCAGAGTACATAAATAGATGTGAAGGGTCAAGGTGTTCGCGCAGCAGGACTTCATGAGTTATGAAAAAAAACGCGCCAACTGTCACAGGTCCACCGCTGGAACGCGTGAAGCATCCCTGTCGACAGCTAGTGCATCCAAACAGGATACAGCATCGTGATGTGTGAAATGGTGATGCCAGTGCAATCCCCCACCCCTCGAAGGAGGGTCTCGGTACGCCCCCTCCCCCTACCCCAACTCTTACCTACTCCTTTCCCACTTTCCTCACTTTCCTACAAGTTCCCCGCCTCCTACCGGTTTTTTTTCAGTTCTCCACACGAAAAGTTTCCTTCGACCAGGGTGGGGTATGGCGGTAGAATATAGCCAATGTGAAATGGAAAAAACCGCGAAAAGGTAAAACCACGAAAAAAATTTTTCCCAACGCGGCAAATTTCTTTTAAAGGCACATATGACCCCTCCCTCTTCCCAGCAGCCAAGTACTACCTCCCCATGTGTTTCACACAGCGATGCTGTACCCTGCATCCAATTATCCTCTTACATTTGGCCATCATGCTGAACATCACTGTGACATCGCCAGCTGAACCATGACGATGGCTCTCTAATCACCCTATCACCCCATGTGTTATTATTATTATTATTATATTATATATTATATTATATATTATTGTATATAATTCGCTTCGTCTGTGTTTGTTTGTTTGTTTGTAAGTTTGTAAGTTTGTTTGTTTGTAAGTTTGTTTGTCTGTACGGAAATTCGGTTCGACCTAAAGAACCACTTGGAAAGGTCGGGTCAAGGTGGGGATGGGTAGAGCATGGGACAAGAAAGGAAAAGCACACTTGACCTATGCGCAGCCCCGCCCACAGTGGGAGGGGCGCTCGCTGAAATTTTGGGGTTCCGCACAGAAATGTTCATAATTCGCTTCCGGAGCACTCAAAGATGAGGGACAAGTGGAATGAGGTTAGCAAGGAGTTGCCAGACTAACCGTGGGAGACACATCCAAAATGGGCGGGGCGTACTCAGCGTGGGCGGCGGTTCTCATAAAACTCAGTAACCCGGTTCGCAAGAGTGTTTAGAAAACGCAAAAAACTCAGTGCAGAGTTTAAATATCTCGCGAGTGTTGGGCACGCTCAACGTGTGTTGAGACCCGCCCACAGTGGGCGAAGCTTGCCCTTAATCGCAGGATACTCATTTTAAAAGTTTGTAGCTCATTTCCAGAACACTCCAGAAACCGGAAAGAAGAGGATCAAGGTCAGTGAGGGCTGGGCCGATTGAGGATTGTGGGGCACAAACATTGTGGGCGGGGCCTGCCCCGCACACAATGGGCGGAGTCGGACAAAAAGTCTGTATAACGCTTCCAGAGCACTGTAGACACCGGAAAAAACGTGGATTAAGGTCAGCAGAGGGTCGCCGGTGAAGATTTTGGGGCACAAACACTGTGGACAGGGTCAGCCCGAGGTGGGCGCAGTCAGACGAAAAATCTATAAAGTAGATTCAGGGCACTCCAGACACCAAAAAAAAGGATTAATGTCAGCTTAGGGTCGCCAGTGAAGATTTCGGGGCACAAACACTGTTCCTCAGCATATAATCTAAATTGATTCGACCGCTGAACGCTACGGTTTCACCCAAAGGTCGAAGTCTAGAGATGTTTGTCACTGAGGAAAGATAAGAGGCAGCAGACGGACGTGAAAGCTGCTCAACGGAGGACGCGAGGACCAAAGGAGCTTTCACTAAGATTTCGATACTGCTATCACCGAAATTCTGTGAACCGCTGAACCGTCCTATTTCGTTTGGTGTTTTTATGAATGTGGTAAGCACTAGACATTGACCAACGTTCATTAAAAAGGAGAAATATGATGAAAAGGGCCCTATTTCAAGACGTGGTTAGGCCAAGTGTTAGTGGTCAGCACAGAAATCCTGTCAATGGTTAGTACCACAGGTGTGACCATGAGCGCAGTAGTGCGCGTCAGCCAAACCGGTACAGAAGTATAAGCCAATAAAATTCGATGAACAGCCTCACGATGTTAAGGTGGCTAATTCTCAAAATAAAATTAACGCTCACCGCTAGAGATGTCGCAGTAGAAATCGCTGGCTGAGCTCAGGGGTTTCTTATTTATATCTCGGTACAAAGAACGTCGACCAGGTAACAGCAATTTTGCGAACAAAATGTACAAACAGTTTTTCGGCCGAATATAGTAGTGGATTAAAATATGCTGGATGCAGCCAGAAAGAACAGGGGAGTGTTGAGTTCATATAGAACCACTCCGCAAAGCAGACCGCGGGCAACGGGAGCAGGCGATCGAATGAGCTGAAGTTTTGTAACAAGCTCGTCATAGTCGTCATCAATACTTTTTGGGATCCGTCCGCAATTCCGATTATAAACTTATAGAAGCATCAGCATTGGAAGTTGGTCTCGTAAGCTCTTTTGTGAACGGAAAGCTTGGCTTCCTCCTTCCGTGTTGAACCGGTCTCGCGTAAGAGTCTAGAATTAGAATCAGTAACCAATAACCGAGACGTAGATAAACTGCTTCAGGTATCCTGTCAGTAACCTATCAACACATAGTCGCATAGTCCATTTATTTCACCCTCCTTACATCAGGGCCGCGTCCACTTACGCTTTGCGCTTCTTTTTCAAAAGAACTATTCATAGCTGAGAACTAATGCTGCTCCTATAATTCAGCAACACACCTTCGCCTGTTGCTATTTCACCTATGCCGTATTTTCCGACAGAAGTTTTCTTATGATCTCCTCCTAAGCCAACAACCACGTTGAAGTTGCCTTGAACTATGACGTAAGTCGACTCGATGTGGAGGTCCGCTCTCAGTTCCTCATGGAAAAGAAAGAAGAAACGCACAATTTCTTTCCGGCTGGAGAGGTGCGCTCTTCTCCTCCTCCTTATCTTGAATTTGAGACTAGCAATTCGTGGAGGGAGAGCGTCGAGAGAAGTGATATACGGAGCCACATTTGCCATTTCATAACAAAAACGACTCCATCTGTCCGGAATGTATTGTCAAAACCTTTCCCAAATAGCATTTTCTCCCCACTCCACCACTTTGCACGCACTTCGTTTGCTCTCCTTATCTCTCGAGCTCAAACGGCATCACCTTTGATTTTTGCCAGCTGTTGAAGATGTACACCCAGGAGTGCATCAGTCGATAAAGTCTGACATTGTGTGAGGCAATATGAAATATAGTGTGCCCGCCGTCCTTTTTCCGCTCGGCCTTACACTTAAAGGCACATTCCGCGGAAAAAATAAGGCTAACTGACCTCTGCAAATGTGATAGCGACGAATCAAGAAGTCGAGTTTTGAAGCTGCGATTCTGTTCAAAATGGTGAGAAAACGCAAGAACTCGCCCAGAAGCTGACTATATTAGGCCACGTAAGGGGGGACAACCCTTTAGGCCCATGCCGACCCTCACGGCTGCTAGCTACTAGCTAGTAGCACTATGTTATCCTTCTCTATAATACATTTCGGACATGTTTTACTGCTGCTTTCTCGCTACATCATATACCTACACTTTTTTATGCCTATTCTGAGTTCCTTTCCGCAATTGCCGGTCGCAACTGTGTCTTTAAGTAAGGTTTCAATTGGAATCTGGGCATGCCACACACACACACACACACACACACACACACAACACACACAGACACACACACACACACACACACACACACACACACACACCACATACAGACACAGACACACAGAGAAGAGAGAGAGAGAGAGAGCCGAATTTCTTTCTCTCGAGTTTTCGCGTTAATATTTTGCCATGCAGTACATTCAGGTAGGCAGTCTTTTTGTCCTTCAAATGCGCCTGTCTGAAGTTTGTCACGTTGCATTTTCATCGATGGATCTAAAACTTTGTTGTCCTTTATGTTCTTTTGTTGTTCTTCTTGCAACTTCAGCACACGCTCCTCTTACAAGGAAGGTCGTTCAGGGCGTGCCCCGCTTTTTCAAAATGGTTTATTCATTTTGTAGGACTTGGAAATAGACCACAGAGGTGGGGTCGCTGAGCGACCCCGGGACGCCCATAATGGTCAAGAAACTATGCTCTTTCAGCGAGGAAGCAGCGAAAAATCGAGCTTAAATTGAATCAAATTAGAAATCAGGCTTTCGAGCTCACCACCGATTTAGTAATGCCATAGTGTAAAAATGCAATGAAGAATACATCGTTACTAGGCAGAATAACACCAGAGAAACGATTTGTTTCCCCGAAAAAATAGTATCAGTATAGTAATGGAGGTTCGCAAAGAGGGCTGAACGAAGGAAGGCAAAAATTAGCTCAAATGGGCGAGAATGCATAGCTAAGTCAATACGCAATTAGATGCTTATGCTGGCATCTTGTAGGTCGTATTAATTGTTAGAATCAAAACGATGAGTGGCTTGGTCAAGTTGTCCGATCCAAGGTCAACGGTAATTAGGGAGCCGATCGCTTGGGGCGGCCGGATTGCCATTGGGGCGCACCGACTATAGTTGCCTGATGGCTGATGCAACGCGTTTTCCGGACCGGACAGCTCGTCCTCGTCTATAAAAGTCTTGATGGGCGTACTTAGTCGACCTGCGTTGCCAGTGCGCCAACATAGACGACCGATTGCACCTGTATGTCATAGTTAATCATTTTCGTGAGTTTCTGAGCTACTTTTCGTCTTCTTTCGCACTTAGAAACGGTTATATAGAGCGTACTTTTCAGTTCTGATATATTTTCCTTCAAAGCAGCTTTTAGTAGACAACGAACGGAACAAAGTAACACTGTTTATCCTTCACTGCCTCACTTTTAAAACTCAGGACAGACTCTGGCCAAAACTTTCTGTTGTGGGTAATTTCAGCTACAGATCAGCTAGTATGGATGGTTGATTGCATTTTGCGCCTGAGTTTTAGTGGCTGAACGATTTGTTGAATCAGACAGGAACTTCATTGCACGCCAAACGCTTACTGTATTTGCGAATTGGAAGTGGCATTCCCAGCTTGTTGAGTAATGACATTCCTCATTAATTACGGCCAGAGGGGAATAGAGAAAGAGCGACTTCGCCATTACTCATTTGCTATGCTCAGCAGAGACATCATCTAGCGTACATCGTCACTGACAGTCACAAAATGAATAGAAAGAAATTGAATTTGAGCAATAAAAAACATATAAAACTATCATGGAGTCCGAAATCTAAAATAGTGACTTGGAAGAAAGCTGAGATAGCAGCTTTCAGCACTCTTTATGCAAATCGGAGATATATCTTGATTTCCTTTACCGCGTGTACCTTTAAAGTATGCTTCAAACAGTTTTCAAAGTAGCCTTCACGGCCTCAAATGACCCATTTGTAAGGGAATGTAAACTGCAGGGCCTCCTATGGGAATAAAAGCACACGAACGCCAAATTGAAAGAAAACTAACACGCTCGAATTTCATTGCACTCTCGAAGAAAAAGGTGAAGCAGAATGGAACGTCATGCAATCGGATGTGCATCAGGAAGAATTAATCAGTGTCACTGATAACAAATTTCTTGTAGACATACCGAGTTAAGTGAATGGGGCTTACCATGCGCAGTAAGCTCTCTTGAGGTGTAGAATCTTCGCAAATGCGATCTCATTAGGGAGGACGAGGAAGCATTTGAAGATAGTAACCGGTAACAGGTAACACATGAACATAATGTAGCGAGACCGTCATGTAGTTATACTAAAACACATCTGGGCATTATTTAGCTATTGCAAACCCGAGAACTCAAAAAAATTATTGACACTCCGCCTCTGCTTGTTATTCGAGCCCTAATCAAGAGTATTAACTTGGTTTCAAACGCTAACGCAGATTTGTCGCCAGCACTTTCCTAATTATAATCTGTTTCAGCTCGAGGGCAACCCGACGCTATGTAGTCGTAGCACCTGAAGAAGGGTCATTAGTTCACTTTATTTTTACTACTCTCTCCTGGCCCTCGGGCTAAACCCCAATGGGGTTTCGGCCAATGGTCGTCTGTAGTCGTACCGGCAATACCCGTCATACGTCATATTGACGTGCATTTTTTCTTACTGTTCCTCTCTACTTGTTCCTCTTAAAATATTTATATTAATTATTTATTGAATCTGCTTGTTATACACGTTCCAACAATCCCATTACGTAAACACCACGCTTTCCCAGTATCTTGATACATAAGAGGTCCATGCCTCTTGTACAAGAGGGCCATACTTCTATAAAAATAGGGACTAGCGCTGACGGGGTGATGCAAGTCATAAACGGCGGGGTGGGCAGTTTTTGACTCCTCCAGCACTGGTAGTCAACACAGGGAGAGGCAACTCTTGGGCAGCAGCCCTGCTGAACCTTCGGGAAGGCTGTTCTCTGCGTACAGATTTGACCGCTCATGCTCTCAGATCCTACGTCAAAAAAATGCTCATATTAGCGCACAAAATTACTTTGTTCACATCAGGTTCCACAAGGTAAGGGATGAGGCTATTCACTACTCACTCGAATTTAGTAATGATAACAAGGGTTGCAAATGCAAGAAAAAATGTCGAACCTGTAGAACTACAAAAATGGAAAACATCATAATATCACATGTTACAGGCCTGCACATCAAAACTTATAAAGAAAAATATACAAATCTCAACACAAAGAACGTAATATACTGTTTGACATGCAACGGATGTGGAACACCGTATGTTGGATGACTATAAGGAAACTGAAAGAAGGAATAGGAGAACATGTAACCTACACTTACGCACATAAGATACATAGGCCCTTGTAGAATCATTTTAATAAATGTGAAAAGGGTTTTCCGTTTAAGTGGTAGACTCTCAGAAGTCTAATGACAAAAATACCCTCCTCGGAAAAGAAGTGTTTTGGATTAAACTACTTCTACAACACCATGTCCTTTTGGGTGGAATGATGACATTGAAGGTTATGGAACTATCACGAATGTGAACAACCCTCTCCTATACGAAGGCAATCATCCTTTTGTTCCACTAAGGATTACAAATCAAAGAAATAATAGAGGAAAGAGAAGCAACAGAAACAAGAAAGGAATCACTCATGATAACATCATAGAAGAAATTACTAACAGCACAGGAACACTCAAACCCACACAATACTTCAGACTACTTGGAAGTCTCCGTAAGGAAGAAATCAATAAGGTCATTAAACTCTTTATGTCTCTGAATTGTCCACAGACGGTCAATAACAAAACGATTGATATTTTGCTTGTTGGCCTATTTTCATCATGGTTTAGTCATCAAAGAAAAACCAGGAAGAATTCTCATAACACTGAAGTCAGCTTTAAAAGTAGGATATCCAATGGAATATACTTCAATAGAATTTCAGTTCACGTACTTTCAAGGGAATATTGCTTAATGGAAATGATTGTGACTTTACACTTAGTAGAATCATTTGTAATTACAGTAACACAATGGCTAACAAAATATGTAATTATAACAGAGTTTCAAAGAATCTCGACAATGAAAAATTGAGGCGGATAATCACTAGTAACTGTGTCTGTAATACGGTAATGTGCAGGAATATATAAAAAGCAAGCATGGTCACACTGTTACAGGCAATATGAATTAAAGGGCTTATCTATTAAAGGAAAGTAAGCACAGGAAACTTGTGATGAAAGGAACGATATATAGGATTGACATTTGATGACAACATTGGATGAGTAAGGTGAAATTGAGTAATGGCTTGGCAGATGAAGTTAGTGACGATAACCTTAGAATCGATCTGACTGTCCCTCCCACTCTGGAAAACTCACCGGGACCCATTTCACACGCGGAAGGAGGATCGATTCGAATGGCCCTCCCACTCATGAAAAGCTTTTCACCGGGACCCACTTCACACGCGGAAGGAAAATCGGCCGCTTCGCCGACCGATCCGACTGGCCCTCTCACTCATGGAAAACTTCTCACCGGAACCACTTCACACACGGAGGTACTCAATCTACTTGATGAAGAGATGGGAATAAGCTAATGACGATGCTAGTAGCACATTCGCATAAGGGGACAATAATCATTCATATGAATTTGTGAAGTCGAGTGACAAATATCCGTGGGTACTGAAACACAAATCCTTTTGTGTAAGGAACAAACTCACTATAGATTTGATGCAATCTACCTAGTGTGTATGCTCTGCAGAAATTGCATAAAGATCCAATCAAGTTTAGATATATTACGGGCGCACATAGCAGTAGCATCAAAGCCCCAGCCTAGAAATACGTGTCATTTTCAAGCATGTCAAGAACCATTTTGTAAACTATGCAAAAGCGATACAAAACCGAAACAGAACGACTAACGACTGACTTATTGGTCGATAAACACCATCAATATAAGTCGGAAACTCATTAATATTACCTACGGCAGTGCCAAAATATATACTGCTAATTTCACAGACATGTTTGCAAACTTGGAACATAACCTCATTATAAGGAATATGCAAGAACTTCTGAACATCTGCTTTAAAAATACCGGTAAGTTGCCAGTAATGGTTACCATATTTTTTACACAGACATTAAAGTAAGTAAAATCATTTACATATACTACAGCTACCGACTTGATATATATTATCGATTACCTAATACGTAACAGTTTTTGTAGTTTCGCTAGTAATGTATTCAAACAGATCAAAGGTGTTCCACCAGGGGGCAACTTCAGCTCACTGTTGACAGACCTTACGCTGTCAGTCCTGGAATATAATTATGCTAAGCGCAATAGATTGAATGCGAATAAATTGCTCATTCCGTGCAGATATATGGATAATTTCCTAGTCATACGTAATCAGTCTGAGGGTGAGGTTCACAAACAACTCAATGAAATCTGTAAAGACACCCTCCAGTTGAGACAAAACTCACACAATTGAGCTATCCAGTAATTATTTGGATTTCACAACCAATATAATAAGCGGTAAAATTAGTATTGGTTTAGATAATAAAACAGATGACTTTAACTGCAAGGTGATTAGATTCCTCCCACACTGATTGAAATATCTCCACTAAAGCTTCCGTTATATACACAGAAACCCCTTACGATAGTCAAAACCTGCACTTGTTTTGATACGTTTACAAGAGGGATACCGGACACGGTAAAGATGCTCTGTAGAATTGGTTATAGTGAGAACTTTATTACAGCTAATATAGTTAAATGTATTTATAGAAGTACACTGATATGTTACAAATACTCTACTACAAAAGATACAGGAGCATAAGCACATTAGTCAGAGGTATCCTCACTGGTGTCGATGTTCAGAATGATTCTTCCGTTTACACCTAAAATTGGTGCCCATGCATCTCTCTTTTGCCTGCATGTGTCGTGTAGTATAATCGTATGATTTTTTCGTTTTCAGCTTTGTATCTTATAAACTTTCTGAAATTCACCTCTCTGAAAATCTTTCTGAAGTTTTTCCCTCCCTTCCTTTACAGATGAGCACAGAGAAAAAAGTATGTTTTTGCTCGGCTTCCGTCTAAGGGCACGTGCGAAACGGGAGCTGAGCTATTTCTTTGCTTTCGACTCCCCTCACTAATTCTCATTTATTAGATTTTACAACATAGCCCATTATTTTTTTCAATGATTTTTCTTTTCAACTTGCATAATGGGGTAAGTCGGTGCGCTGATCGCAAACATGACATTACTTTTTAGCCCTGGCGCTATTTGGCGCCACACCCTTTTACCAAATTCGATGAAAATCTGCACAATGTTGTCTTATGCCCTAATCACGGAAATGGCATTCGTACTCCAATTTAGCGCTCTGCTAAGGCTGAGCCTAGGAAGAGGAGTGATTCCCTCCTGGAAAGGATTAGCATCAACAGCGTACATGATCGTAGTATCCTAGCCGGCGATAGGAATATATGTCATATTCGTGGTCAGGATGTCAAATAACAAACATATTTGAGTTTCAGCAATTTTGGTGATTCAGTATCATCTGGCGCTGGCCTCCGGAACGCGAGCGCCAGGCAATTTCTGGCCAAACTGGTGCGATATTCATGTTTAGGAGGTCGAAGTTCCTCTGCAAATCAAATTTTCAGTTTTTTTCGGAAAGGTCGATGGGAAAACTGGGCTGAAGTCAGTAGATTAGGGTAGTGATACTTGAATAATGCCCACATCTGCCCATGAAAGATCATTGAGTCACTTCATCCTCCTCATCAAAATCGCGCTTGCGAAAAGTAGGGAACCTTGAAGGAGCTAACTGCTCTTCGATTCACGTCCTTCTCACCGCTTGCAAAGAGTACGGAACTCAAGAGAGTCTTGCTGCTCTTTACTTCACACTTAATTGTAATTGCGCTCGCAGACTTTGGAATTCTGAAACAGGTTGATTTTCAATCCAAGTTCAATGGCGCGAGGATTGCGCACGAATCGCTATGGAAAGCGCGGATTATCGAAGATGGCCAAATGCTAGAAGTGCTGCGCGCAGCACGTGCCGCGCAGACGTTGTAGGAGCAGGGCACAGCATCGTTATGTGAAATATTGGTGTCAGTACCACCCCTTCCCTCTCGGAAAACGCCCTTTTCGGCTCTAATTATTTGCTCTGACGAAATGATTAGATACGTAACGACTCGCAAGCGCTTGCTGCCGCGTTATGATTCCATGGCAAATTAGCGGTGGGGCAGATCTGTTGGCCGGGTGGAAATCGCGGTTTTTTCTGGGGTGATATCTTCTTTAGTTTGAGGCTTTTGAGAGACGAAAGGAGGCATGCTGAAGCGAAATCACTACTGCTGCGTCTTCCACCTATTCGCAATCTGAGTCTTCTCCCTTCGTTAAATATTTCGGATGGGTTAGGGCGCGTTAAAGGTAAATCGCGAGCGGGTTTTTGTGCTTCAGACGAGAACAACTTCTTTCAAACGCAATCAGTTCCAAAACTAAGGCCTTCAGAACGCCCAGTATTTCCTCTTCCCAACAAG